AGGATCACTTGAGCCCAGGAGGCAGAGGTTGCATTGAGCCGAGATCACACCACTGCACTACAGCCTGCGTGATAGAGTGAGACCCTGTCTCAAAAAGGATTTTATGAAGTTGAAGGATCACTTGAGCCCAGGAGGCAGAGGTTGCATTGAGCCGATATCATACCACTGCACTCCAGTCTGGGTGACAGAGTGAGACCCTGTCTCAAAAAAAAAATTTTATGAAGTTGAACAATTCTGAGTGATGACAAGCCTAGACTTTAGTCCTGGTTGTGGCTGGCTAAAATGGAATGGCATTTAAAGTCCTGTGAGGATCATAGATGGACGGAGAAGTACTAAGTTCTTCAGTGAATATGGAGGCACAGATTGGGAAGCTGAGTGTAGAGACAGTACTACTGAAGGGCAGTGATGCATGTTACGAACTTTTTACATGAGAACATAAATAGTTGTCTGAAAAGTGGCTCCTGGCCCAGAGAATGCCTGTTCCTATTGCCAGCCCTATGGCATATGGAGTCCTGAAAGAATAAGCAAACTGCACTCTCTAGTGGGGAAAGTGAACACTTGAGAGGTTGAATGTGCTTCTCACCAACTCCCTTGGGGACATTTAAAGATGTAAGGGGTAATTTTTGGCACAATCTAAAATGCTGTCCTGTTCCTGTTCAGGGCTTGTCTTTTAAACAGGGTATTCAGGGTTGTTAATAGCTAGGGTTGTTAAGGTATTCTGGAATTATCCTCAGGCTTCTAAAGAAACTGGCAAGTTGTATTAACTTATTTGGTATCTGAGCCAGGTGACTGCATCAAGTGGCCTATGGCTTATGGCTTTTCTAGCAGGGGAACGATGGTAAATTTATAAAACCGGAAGTGTCTCAGGCTGAGAAGAGGTATGGAGAAGACTAGACTCAGGAGTGATTTCTGCACTCTCAAAGTAATGGTTAAAGACCCTTTGCATGGTGTAAACTTGCCTTGCCAATGACATCTGTGTAAACGGAACTAGAACTAACTTTTGGATTCTACTCATTTTTAAAGAATGTTGCAGAAGAAAATACAAGGGTACTGTATTCCTTATATGGAGTTGTTGAACACAGTGGTACTATGAGGTCGGGGCATTACACTGCCTATGCCAAGGCAAGAACTGCAAATAGTCATCTCTCTAATCTTGTTCTTCACGGTGATATTCCACAAGGTAAGATGTCTTGGAAAATTCAGGCACTCAGCAGATTATGGCAAAACCAAAAAGTAACCAACTTGAATCTTTCCATTTATGTTTGATTTTTCATCTCCTCTTGACAGATTTTGAAATGGAATCAAAAGGGCAGTGGTTTCACATCAGCGACACACATGTGCAAGCTGTGCCTACAACTAAAGTACTAAACTCACAAGCATACCTCCTATTTTATGAGAGAATACTGTAATAGTATCAAAAGTACTTTTTCTGGAAACACGTTTATGGCTTTTATAATGGCTGAAATAACAATAAAAAAGTAAAGACTAATTAAAATCATGTTCACTTAACATTAAATACATGCCAGAAGAAATCATGTTTATTTAAATATTGAAGGGAAAAATACCTAAAAATTTACAAAGGTTTTGTATTGTCATGGTGGTTTTAATTCCTGCTTTGTTTCTGGAAAGCAAATCCTGAATTACTTAAGTCCTCTGTGTTTAATGTCTGGGTGATGGATCACAACACATCAATAAACTGACTTACCTAAAATCTTGTTTTATTACTGAGGAGATTTTAACTTCTACTGACTCACTCTACTAGGTAACACTTTAAAAAATGTTTCATCAGATGTGCTAATGAAGCTTCATTACAAGTCTGTTCATTTTATAAGAATCTATACTGACAGCAGAATATAAATGGGAGGAATGTTTCTTTGTAATCCTGATGCCAGTGTGCATAAGCTGGGGTACATAAGGCCTTACTCTGTATTTGCTCTGTGCCAGTGGTCAGCTGATCTGGGACAGATGTAAGACAAACTAGTCTCACTCCTATGAGTATAATTGGGTACCAAACCCCTTAATACCAGCATACCAGAGAAAGCCTGCTAACTGTCCCAAGTCAGCCAGTGTTTGAGTTACATGCAATGCAAAGAGCTTAGGGACACCAAGCCTCTCTTAACTTCTTGAAAGGTTCTATATGAGGATGACTTCGACATACAATGAACACTTCTAACCTGCTGTGGCAGTAATGAGAGTTGTATCATTCCTAGCACCTGTTGAGTTTATGTAAGACCCAGTCAGTCATATTGCTTCTAAAATCTCTTGGAAAGAATACTAAAAACAGGCTGGCATGGTGGCTTATGCTTGTAATAGCACTCTGGGAGGTCAAGGCAGTAGAAACCTGGAGCTGGGAGTTTGAGACCAGCCTGGGTAACACACACAGTGAGACCCTTTTCAGGAGGCTGAGATGGGTGGATTGCCTGAGCCCAAGAGCGGAGGTTGCAGTCAGCTGAGCTTTCACCACTGCACTCCAGCCTGTGTGACAGAGCAACACCCTGTCTCAAGGAAAAATACATACACAATTTCAAACAGTATTGAGGACCTTATATAACCAACATGTATAGTAGCACATGTCCTATAAAATTCAGTATAATTATTTATAATAATTTATTTATAATGTTCTTGGCTTTTTCAACACTCCTTACTGATTTTAACAAAATAGGATCTGCTTTATGAAAACTGACTTAATTTTGTACATGTCAGGAGATCTATTTTCAGTTATAAGCCTTTTTTGGTACTTTGCTAAGTAGACTGTCTTCCATTCAACAAATTATTAATTGCTATTGAAACAAGTCACCTTGAGTAAGGCATTCCAGAGCTGTGACAAAAACACTCTGGAAATCTAGTCCAGGTGTTGACAGACCTTTCCTGTAGAGGGCCAGATAGTAAATATTTTAGGCTTTGTAGGCCCGTTTGGTCTCTGTTAAAAATACTTAACTCTGCCACTCCCTTGTTAGAAAGTAACTGCAGACAATATGTAATGGTATGAGCATGGCTGTTTTCCAATAACTTACTTACACAGGCAGTGGACCAGATATACATGGGTAATAGGCCTCTACTTATTTATAAGTGACTTGCCTTAAGTCCCACAGCTGATGTGATTAACAAGGTTGAGAGGAACACAAGTCATTTAGAGCCAGTAACCGTGGTCATTAGACAATAAGGCTTTGACAGTAACAATATGTTTATTATAACATCCAGCGAAGAATACAAACACAAAATACCTCTTAATTTAAGGAGAATAAGAAAACATCAGGCGATTCTTAGAGTACTACTACAAATACAGCCTTCACCTACAGTAAAAATTAAGCCAATTTCAATCATTTTGGTCATCATCCCAGTCTTTCTTCCCACTTGGAGGCTTGGGCCCACCAGCTGGTTTTGCCATGATGATCTGCATAAAAAAGAATCACACAAAAGTATGCTTATAAACTCAACCTTTAGAATGAAAAGAATGCTTCTACTAGCGTGATTTAAGATTAAGCAGTCTTCTTGATATAATTATGTACTGCATATAAAACACTATAGCAGTTTGCTAGCTCCCTTGTTAGAAATTCAATTGTAAACTTTCAGCAGCATGAGGTTTACTGCTTTTGTGGATAACTGCAACAAGATCCACACAGATTAGTGAATATTCCAAGACATGCACTTCAATAACTCAAAAAGCTGAAAGTGAAAATATGTGCATGCATCACTAGTATAAGTCGGTCAGTCAGTTTGGCACCTGATTTGCTATTTATATGTGAGATTCATCTTGCCAACCATCTCTGTCCCAATTTCCTTGCGGTTTAGGAGCTTTAGGTCCACCTGCCAGCTTTGTCATTATAATCTAAAGTAGTTGATACATAAATATAAACAAAGTTTAACACTGAAATTTTCTAAAACCTGTAAATGAGAACCATTCAAGCATCCAGTTTTCATAAACAAAAATCTAAGCCCTTAGTTCCCAACTTTAAAAAAAGTGCCACAAACCTCACCTTACTTTATCTAAAATAAATGGGGTTTTTTTTTTTGAGACAGAGTCTTGCTCTGTTGCCCAAGCTAGAGAGTGCAGTGGCGCAATCTCACCTCAGTGCAACCTCTGCCTCCTGGGTTCAAGCAATTCTCCTGCCTCAGCCTCCCAAGTAACTGAGATTACAGGTGCCTGCCACCATGCCCGGCTAATTTTTTATTTTTAATACAGATGGGGTTTCACCGTGTTGGCCCGGCTGGTCTCAAACTCCTGCATGATCCACCCGCCTTGGCCTCCCAAAGTATTGGGATTACAGGCCTGAGCCACTGTGCTCGGCCAGAAAACATCTTAATTACCATCTGCAAACATAAGCTGTGCACAGTGGCTCAGGCCTGTAATCCTAACACTTTGGGAGGCCAAGGTTTGAGGCCAGGAGTTTGAGACCAGCCTCGGCAACAAAGAGACCTAGTCTACAAAAACTAAAAATATATATATAAAATATATACACATATATAATCAGCCAACCGTGACAGCACCTGCCTACAGTCCCAGCTATTCAGGATGCTAAGGCAGGAGAATCACTGGAACTCAGGATTTTGAGGTTGTGGTAAGCTTATTATGATTGTGCCACTGTACTCCAACCTGGGTAATAGAGTAAGACCTTATCACAACAATCACAACAACAACAACAACAACAACAACAACAACAACACCTAAACCTGAAATTCTCAGAGTAACACGTTACTGATTGAGGGTAATTTCAGAAATTTCAGATTGAATTAAAGGCATTAAGCGTAATTTTAGAACCTAAGTGCACCATGATTTTAAAAAGTAACTAAAAGCCAGGTGTGGTGGCTTACACCTGTAATCCCAGCACTTTGGGCAGCTGAGGTGGGCGGATCACGAGGTCAAGAGATCGACACCATCCTGGCCAACATGGTGAAACCCCATCTCTACTAAAATAACAAAAAAAATTAGGTGGGC